TTCCAATAGGCCTAATCCACATGTCGTCAACTTAGGTTTCTTTTGAGGTGGAAGGTTCATCAGAGTTTCTTCGTTTTTTTGATGTTACTGGCTGTTCAACATAATCTTCCTGAATGTCTTCCACATGTGTATCATATTCCGGATCTGGTTCATAAGGTGCAGAATATTCTTTTCGTTGATCTTTATCGAGAGGATCTTTGTCCTCGTATTCATCTTCGTCTAAATTTGCCACCTCCAAACTATTCGAACATGATTTGCCCTGACAAAGTGCACACATTACCGAGCAACGCAAACCTACTTTGCGGCAACTACAAGATGTATTACAACCTTTGGCACATTTACATGCAATCAGATTTAATAATTCTTGGGGAGCTGCATCTTGGGAAGTAGCAATGGGCATCAACCCATTCTTTGAATTTTTCCATCCCCAATCCAGAGGTGATTTTTCATTCCCATACCATAGCTGTACCTGACTGTACGTACGGAAGGAGTGCAAGCGAGCTGCGTCTTTGGTCGATGGTAATGATGCTAGGTTTGGTAATAGATTTTACGAAACACTGGTATCTGTACTTCTCTAACGAGTCGCATTTTTTGGATCCATATCTCAAAAAAAAACGCGCCGGGTACTTCACCTCAAGGCAATTCCCTGAGAGATAAGGCGGTTAAACTTGATTTTTGACCAGTCGCGCAACAATAAAAATTTAGTCCGTTATTGCGGTCATAATGCAAATTGCGTTCTTCCATTACGACCGCGACAGCAGGCTACTGCCAACAAGTAGCAAACAAGTTTTTAGGCTTTATGTCTCGGGGGTGCCACTCAAGGTGGTGTGGAAACAAGTACAATTAACCCCGGATATATTGAACACGTATATTATATCAAACTTTAATTTTGTTTTCGTAAAATTCGATTCTTTGGGTAGTCGCACGAAAAAAACCATACAACGTTTGTACAGAGTTTTTCTTCTTCTTTAATTTTGGTCTCTACATATTTTGCACTAAAGTTAATAGAAATCGAGTTATTGACAAATGATGAAAAATAAACCGAATTTTAGCCACTTTTTCTAAGATGGCGGCCAAATCCGGGCTTTGGGGGTGGTGCAAATTTAACACGTGGTCCCTTACACTAAACTAAATAAAATAAAATTTATTCTAGCTTGTCCGGATTTGCTCCCGCCATAAGCTATTTTTTAATACTTGGCGACTGGCCTATAGACATTTTTTACTAGTTTGTTGTGGATCAAAAAAGATCTAAGTGTATTTTTCGTGTTCCTATCCTTATTTATCCTTGGAGTGCCTTATAATCTTTTTATTTTATTTTTTAAAGTTACAAATGTTATATTGGTGAAACATCTAGACTTTTAATTGTTCAAATTAAAGAACATAAAATCGATGTTTTTACTTCTTTTCAATTAAAGATTAAATTAGTTTTATTAAAAGATCCATTTTAACATCTTCACATTTCTTTACCAACCCATGCAAAATCAGTCGCGCTTTATTCAAATTTGTACAGTCACCATCCCACCATTAAGTCACTTCCGAAAATGTCTAGATTCCTCGGAAATCTGTAGGAGCGCCGCCAGTTGCCCAAGCAAACCCTTTTTCGGGGGCGGAAAGGATTGCCAGCTGCCTGAAGGGCTGTGGGAAAATCATACAGGTGCTGATCGATCTAGTTCGTTCTCGCCATGAGAATAAGGTCTGAGATGGTCTAGGGATGGAATGGGTATCTGGGTAGTAGTTGCTATGGCGGGGGATGACGATACAGGGGTGGAGTTTTTTTTTAATTTTATATTTGGAATAAATTAAACTTTAATAAACACTCGGAATTTTTTTTGTTAATTATAAAGTGTTATTTTTTATTTTTAGCTTTATTTTCATTATCACAAGGTGCGTCTTGAAAATGTCTCACTCCTCTCTATAAGATTTTTATTTATTTTTCTTTGATAAAAAAACGAGATTTGGTATGTTAGTATATGATATAAATTAGGATTTATTGACGTATTCAATTATTTTCGGTCACTTCCTGTTTCACCCGAAATTACTACAACTTTTGATTTTTAAATGACACTCTGAATAGAATGACATATCATATATGTCAATTTTTGACATTTTTGCTTAGAAAAAATCGTATTTTAAATTGCAACTAGAGTGCCGTGGCTGCGTTAAAAAATCCTAATTTTTAATCAAGGAGCCTTGGAAAAATAGATTTAATCATCTAATGTTTTTATTGTCGTGTCCTGGCCGGTTAAAAATGCCCCAATTGTATTTTTAATCATAATTTATTTTTTTCAAATAGAACAAGGATGGGTCATTAGCATATTTGAAAAAATCATTCTTTTTCGAATAACTTGGTACCACATACTTGGTATTTCGGGTAAATATGTCGTTATTAAGAGGTATTTTTTTCTATACCAGATACCAGTATGTCCCTATACCCAATAATCCACATTTTATTTAAGCTAGGAATATATTAATTATATCCCTTCTTGTCTCTCGTTAGTTGTCAAATTTATATTTAGTATATAATAATAACAGTATATAAAAAAGTTGTTGGATTTCAGCCTAAAATATATGCCTGATACTTTGTTATTAAAGTTGTCAGCTTACTTCGTTCGTATTAATAACGCCACATAATGAATAGGTGTATAACTTAATATCCTAAAATGACAAGAGAATAATGGTGAGACGAAACAAGATATATTAAAACTGACCCAAAGAGCAGCTGTGGTTATTAGAAGAAATTTGATAATGACCTAACAAAAAAAACTCAAAAATTTCAATATTAAGAAAGTATACTTTGTTGTAATATGAAAAACAATACTATTTCATAAGTTTATGAGATTATAGCATATTTATTATTTTTTTGACTATTAATTTAACATTTAGAAAACGTTCTCGTTAAAAGGTTACTGCCTACTTAATGTTGTCAGAAATACACATATCTTAATTTTGTATTTTAGATATACAGGGTAATGTAAATTTTAAGGGTAATATATTTCGAGACACGATTATTTATTAGTTATTTCTCGCGAAAAAAAATAAAAATTTGCAATTTTTTGAAAAAAATTTGGAAATGTTTTTTGTTTTTAGTAAAAAAACATAATTTGCTGATAATATGGCAACATAGGTAGTAGATTAAATTTACAAGAAAGAAAATCCAGAAAAGTTTCAGCGGTCTCAAAATTTAAGCAAAAAACCTTTTTTTTTTGGAAATTCTCAAAGTAAAATAACTTAACTAATACTAATAATAAAGTAGTGAATTATCAACTAGCAAGTCAGATTTTAAAGAAAAACGATTCAGGAAGATCTTCCGCAAGAAATTATTAACCAGGCAGAGGCAGCTACAGCACAAATACTACCAGAAAAGTCTCGTGGCGTATATGATAGGGAATTCAAGGCGTTTGAAGAGTGGATAAAAGTAAAACATGTCAAAGGTATAAACGAAACTATCTTGCTTGCTTAGTTCTTTGAACTACTGAAGAAATTTGTTCCATCATCCTTATGGTATTAATTTCATTTAATGTTAATGTTAATTTAAATAAATAATTGAATTAGTAATTTATTAACTAATTTAACAATAATTTCTATAAAATGGTGTGGCTTTGAAACTTTGAAGTTATAACACACTAGTTTGTTATAACTTCAAAAACTCACGCGTGTGTTTTTATTTTATATGCATATGCATGTATAATGTATACATTCATGTGAGTAATGCGTATAAGTAGTGCCTGTTGCATAAAATAATTAAGAAATCTTCCAAATATTTATATGCATTTAAGAAACGAGTTAGTTTAATTCCTACACTTGCATATACCGGATGTTTGGGAAAAGTAACTCTGAAAAGTGGACTTCTATAACTTTATGATTTTTTCAAACCAAAATACGAGATTTGGTATGTTAGTAGGTATATGATATAAATTTGGATTGATTGACCTATTCAGTTGTTTTCGGTCAATTCCTGTTTCACAAATATGTAGTTAAATTATTTGACTTTTTTTGACTTTTACCTCTTTCTAAATTAAAAATGAAAGGTGCCATCTGTAAATTATATGAGGGAAAACAAAATGTTGATATTTTGGTGAAAGTTTGAAACACCCTGTGGGGTACGTTAAAGCAACAAGGAATTTGAAACATCCTGTACAGGTAGATAGGTAATTAATACCTCCAAAATTTCGAAAAGTCAGTAGTGTCAAGATTTTTTAATGCTGTTGTAACTACACTATACCTTTTCCATTTTATAATATTTTCAAAAGCTTATAGTGTAGCGTTTTATTTTTCTTTTTATAAAATTCCAAATTTTAATATTGCTGGCGCCATCTATTCGCTAGATGTTAAACTTCATTCAGTACAGGTAGCGGTTCCTTTCCATAATCTTAACCTGATATACTCTATGTGATTTTAGGCACATATACTCGGATAAAATGACATAGGAGTAAACACTGCAAAAATAAACTCATTTTTATCACATACATCAACTACTATGTTGAAGATCAAAGATCAATCACAAGTACACATCTTAGCTTTTGGATCTATTCCGGCGCATTCAATGTGAGACCATTTCATGCATGACTGGCATTTTACCCACATTTCCATAGGTTTGGATCGCGAATCAAGGTCATTGCAGTAGATGCAAGCAACCTCATCGTTGTCGACGCTAGTAGTGAAAAAAGGATCGTGATTTTCTTCATTTTCTGTGTCTTGAAAACGATTCATTATATCGAGCGACACCTTTTGTCTCTTAGACCTAAATTTTTTCGTCGGTATTTTTTGTTTTTCTGCCTTCTCTTTTCATCTAAATTTGGTGTTGAAGTTAAAACCAACGGACCTTGACTTCTTCCCTTTCTTTTGTTTTTTATTTCCACGGCTTTTGGAGTGGCCTTTATCTCTTCTCTTCTAGCCTTACTATCTGGTATTCTGTTTCTTGTTCTGAGTTTGTCGATTGTTGAAAAGTATCCATTTCTAATCGATGCTTTTCAATTTGGTTTTGCAAACATGTTCCTGGTTCATTCAGGTTCAGTGAGATCAGATTGATCTGATGGTTCTTCTAAGACCAGGTTCGTGACATCAGAAGGAGAGAACATCCATTCCGGAAAAATGTCTGGATTTGGAGAGTAAATGCCGGTGGTTTTAAAGCCACTAACTGCATTGCCCATAACAGCCGCTTTTTCATAGGCTTCCGAAAATAGTTGCCCAACTTGAAACGCCGTCACTGTTCTGGCCGGATTTGTCTTTATCCATTTGGTAATTGCTTGATTATAGTAGTTTGATAAAGGTCCAAAAAAACTTACGTCTAAAGGCTGGATACGGTGAGTACAGTGAGGTGGTGTGCATAGCAAAACAACACCATGTCTCTTCGCATATTCCAGAGCTGGTAGATATTTATGGCTAGAATGACCATCAAGGATTAGCAGAACTTTTCTATCCACGGATACATTGGAATATTTTACGAAGTGCGATAACTATTTTTCAAATAACATTCCAGTCATCCAGCCGGATTCTTGACATAGTTGAAGAGTCCCGGCAGGTGCATGATCCGTCAAATCTGGCTTTGAATTTTTTCTTGCAAATATCATTGCGGGGGGAATGAATGAGCCTATTGTGTTCATACAATACACAACAGTTGTATGAGCACCATGCTCAGCACTGGTGATTGTTCCAACCTGTTTCCGTCCTTTCGTGGCAAAACTTTTAGATGGTCTTTGCACGATTGATAGTCCTGACTCATCCATATTATAGTATATCCTTTCTGGTGGAATTTCATTATCCCTTATTAATATTTTCTAAAATGTCGAGCAACTTTTTTACTTGCACTCTGTTAAACGCCGAAGCCCGGGCTACTGACGTAGCTTCCGGCTGTCTAAGCGATATGTCAGAATTTCTCTTCCGGAACCCATAAAGCCAATCCCATCCAGCCATTTTATTCTCTTTATGGAAACGGTGTGGTAAATGATTCTGCTCTGCAAATTCATAAGCTAAATGACGGAGTTCAGTAGTTGTTAAACCATAAAATTGTTCTTCGACTTTTTTATGTAATTCAATAATTCTTCTTCCTTTTCAGGCGGAAAAGTAGTGCCCCATCTTCCAAGACCTTTATCTGATCCCTTAATACGTTTATTTACGTTCCGGCACCTACGTCTCAAAGTGGCTTGAGGGACATTAAATCTTTTGGCCGCAACTAACCAACCTATTTCCCCTCGTTCGATGGACTGAATCGCTTCTTTCATGTCGTGAGTAGTTTCCCACCATCTCTGGAAATAAAAAAATAAGCTTAAAATGACATACTATGTCATTTTAAACTGATAAGCCCTATGTCATATTACCCATAAATACATTGGCAGCATTTAATTGTTCTAACTTTTCACAAAATATAATTATTAGATTCATTAGCATTGGAAATTCAAGATAACGGATGGAACTTACCTACCTTGTAATAATAACTTCCAAAAAAAATTACGATTAACTTGAAAATACGAAAAACGAAACTCGTACTAAAAAACTGCTTCTGACTCAAAACACATATACTCGTCTAAAAGCTATAAGCCATCTGATTGACATCCCGTATTAAGTGTGTCACGTGACGCTCATGTCAGGAAGAAGTAGAGATAGAACATCACCAGTAACATCGCGGGAAATTTGAATTTGGGCAGTATGTCATTTTACCCGCATATGTCATTTTAAGCGAAATTCCCCTAATTAATACCTCCAAAATTTCGAAAAGTCAGTAGTTTCAAGATTTTTTAATGCTATTGTAACTACACTATAACTTTTATATTTTATAATATTTTCAAAAGCTTATAGATCTGTAAGAAATCTAATTCAAAAAGAAATTAACTACATAAATATAAAAAAATCAATACGACTCTGTAAAAATAGAAATTTTCACAGACTTTTTACCAACCAAACTCTAATCTAAGAAATCGCTTTATCGGAAGTTTAAAATTAGGTTTTTCTAAAAGTCTACCGGAAGGAACCATACTCTGGAGCATGTGTTGTTCGGATGAGAAAAAAGTTTTATAATAGAAATCCTACCTCCCATAAAGTGAAAGGGATACTTTATAGGGCTCATCGATCTATCAATAGATAATTATTTTACCTGCCCGAACATTTTAGGTCCTTTATTATATTCTCGTAAATCATGATATTCAGAATAGGTTTTACATCATGTGGCATTTTTCCTTTGGGTTTCACTTTTATATTCGATTATTATAATACATATTTGGAAAACACTTATAGAGTAGAGTGTGGTAGAGTAGCTTTCGAAATTTTGTATACACTTTAAACACATTACATTAAAACACTTTTTATTTCAACTTTCAAAATATATGTTTTATTGCTTTGTTACTATTTTTTAGTTTTAAAAACAGGATACAGTTTATAAATTCGAAATATCTTCTTCAGATGCCTCTTTTCAACGCAGATAACTACGGCGAATTTTTCTCGTATTTCTGCTGTTCTGAGCAGAGTTTGGATATTTATTCCTGTCAATTCTCTTATTAGCACAAAAGTACTGTTATTAAGATCGACAATTTTTTTTTTATTTAATTTCACTCAAAATGAGTTATTTGGGTCATAAATGACCTAAATACAAAATACTTTCATGGTGTCTGTCTGTCTGTCCGTCTGTCTGTAACACGATAACTCAAAAACCGCTAAACCGATTTTAACCAAATTTGGCACAAAAGTACTGTGACACCCGAGAATCTGGCAATTAGTTTTTGGTGAGGGTGGGGGGTTGATAAGGGGGTATGGGAGGGGGTTAGAAATTTAAAAAAATCGTAACTCCAAAATTACTGTAGCCAGCGAAACGCGGTTTTCAATTTTAAGATTAGGAATAATATTTGCAACAAAATTTGTAATAATATCAAAATCAGTCAAAGTCCCAGTTTTTGAGATAAAAAAAATTGGAAAAATTCCTTTACTTTGAAACTAAAAGAACTGCCTACCTACTTTTTATTAACATATTTTAGTATGGATAATACTAAACGGCTATACGTGCCTCCCGGCGCCAATTTTTTTTTTCACCACGCCACACAGTGGATCGATGTATACGGAAATATGGACATTTGATTTTGTTTTAGAACTATTAGTCTGATTTAGACAATTTTGATTTTTTGAAGAGAAATGACCATTAAGAATTTAATTTTTGTCTCAAATTTCGATTATTCCAAGAACTCAAGATGGCGGCTTATATACAGATGGGTCCGAACTATATTCCGGAAACTTCGGCAGTATATTCTGCAGATACAAAAAGTTCGTATAAATGTAATATGTCCTAAAATGCTTACTTTCGGAGATACAGGGTGTAGAAATTTCTTTATTTCGATTTTTTACCAATAATTTATGAAGTAACGTCAATATTTGGATGAAAATTAGTATCTGGGAGTATGTATTTTGACATAAGGAATTTGATTTTGATGTCAATATGACTCCTATTTGTAGGGGGCGCCATCTACAAGTGTTTTACCTGTTTTGAATAGTAATAACTTTTCGTTCGTACCAGTATAAAACTACTGAGGAAAAAAATATATACAGCCACACCCAAAATTCCAAATGTGCTTTCATTAAGGCTTGATTAAAATCTGTAGAGCTTCAGCATTTGCCATAATATAGCGAGCAATTTGTTACAAAACCATATAAATTATAAATATATTACTGTAATCAGAAAACTTCAATATATTTCCGTATTGTAACGGAATTTTAAATTATGTCTTTATTTTCGAGAAAATTTAGTCCAAACATAAGGAATATTTTGTTGATGTTTGGCCATCGAAATCTTAAAAATAAAGAAGTTGTCTAAAAATGTGCTACAATACGGATATAATCCTTTATCTTTAATTTCCTTCTTCATTTGTGTAAAAATACCTAGCCAGTTTTACATAAAACGTAGTGCCGAACGCTTATTTTGCTACTTTTCGGACTAGTGAAATGGACTCATGGAAAATGATTGTCTTTTCAAAAGAATATTTTCATTTTAAAAGGCATATGTGGAGTTCTACCTCAAAAAGCACCTACAATAATTTCTCTCATGTTGTCGACAATAGTTGGTTGAGTTTTGTAAACACTGTCTTTAACATATCCCCATAAAAAACAGACTAGATAAAAATAAAAGCATTTAAGTATTCTATTAATGATGACTGCACACTGCATTCACCAACTAATAGAATCATATCAATTCTCTCTGATGTAGAATAAGTTTGCATTTTCGGCAAATTTCTGAGACTTTTTTTTGTTTTACCTGACACAAAATGATGACTAGTTGTTAAGTTGGACTAATTAGACAGCTATGTTGAAGTAACGTCAGACATATCACAGCCACCCTAGATTTTATCAAATAAGAAAGATCTACTCAGAACAACTCATATAAATGAAAATATCTAGGAAAACCTTTGTTTGAGGGGTAGGCAACCCTAATAGTATTTTGAAGAGACATGAATTCTCCATTGAATATCGGAATAATATACTGGGTATCCCATTTAAAATAAAAGAGTAACATGCTTTTAAAGGTGACGAATGTTCAATATTAATTTTGTCGCACCCTGTATGACTTTTTGGATCAAGTTTTAATTTGATTTAAAGTACAATAGTTAATTTAGCTACATATTATGCTATACCGGATAAATTCCAATTTAGTAATTTCAATTTAGTAATTTTTGTAATTTAAAAATTGTTCTTTATTTCTAGAAAATGTTAAATATGTCAAAAACCTTACATTTTAGTCATGTACTTTTCTTATAAAACTCACGTTTATTTTTCTCCCAGAATCCGAAAATCAATTAATATATAGAGTGTTCCATTGCAAAAAACACAACTTTGATATTTCACTTTTTTTGGGGACACTCTGTAGAACTCTCTATATTTTTAAAAAGTGCTCTGAATTAACCTACATATGCTCACAAAATTTCATTTCAATACAAACTGTTGTTCTCCTTGGAGCCTCTGTGGCGTATGAGAGGCGCCACCCTGTACACGTTAAAATCGAGACCACCCAGTTTCGATGACCAGATCGGTATAAATAGTATCTATCTGTAAAAATACAAATACTTTAAATAATAGTCTACACAAATAAAAGACAAGTATTGTTTAATAAATTCAATCCCATTATATTTTTATAGGCATTAACTAACTGTACTCTTTTATTACAATTATATAACAAGATGCTAAAGGTCGTATATAAATAACATCGAATTTTAAAGTGCAACGATGCAATAAATATAGCCATTACTTCTAGAAATCCGCATTTTGATACGCTTACTGAATATTGATCAGCAGCAACTGAAAATATAAATAGTACGAAATTACTAGCTAGAAAATATTCATGAACAAATGCATTATAGTTATTTCACAATATAAACGGATAATTTGAGGCAAATTTCCAACTACCTTAATGGTACCACCATTTCAACGAAGAAAACATTTATCTTACATTGTTATTCTTAGATTCCGCAGTAATAACTGATTGTTATGTTAAGTGCAGTAGAGATAGCGTTATTATAATTGTGTAATTTTACTCGCTATTGTTTTATCTGATAAAGGTATTGGTACTGTTAGTATAACTTCAAAACAAACTAAAATTCGTAGAATATATTAAAATTAAAAATATCGGTTTAATAAAAAGAGAATCTTAATAAATACAGGGTTTTAACAAAAAAAACATACATTGAGCGTCTAAGTAGACTGTAGATTGCAGATTGCATGGGAGGGAGGAAGATAATCACCGTCACCTTATAGC